GTAGTTGTACTCCAGCAGGCCACTAATTGGCTATCCTTGGTTCAAAAGAAATTACAGAGATTCTGTACCAGCTGCACTTGTTTCCTATTCATTCAAAATGCATGTTTGGGAGGAGGCCACCTGAAGTTCTGCTGTCTCTGTACTTCCCAGCGCTCCAAGATCAGCCATAGAGGGTCTCCTTGTATGTCCACTAATAAGGTCAGTTAGGCTGATGGACACAAGAGATGGGGCCTTTTGGGAGGCTAGTTGGACCTACGGCACCTACCTTTTTAGGAATTAATCTCTTTCCATTTCCAACTCTATTGAGGGAATTCAAAACTGTTAAGGCTGCAATCCTAAACACGCTTACTGGGGAGTAAGCAAGCAAGCTCCATTCAGTCCAAGGGAAATTGCTTCCTAGTCAATGTGTGCAAAATTGTGTACACTTTGCAATTTCATGGAAAAGCAACTCATAAAACGTGCACAGTGACATCATGTTACAGTGGTTTTGAGTCACTGCATCTTTAGAGGTCCCCATTCCCTCATATTAAAGCCTTCAAGCGTAAAGAGAGGATGGTTGATCAGGAAAGTAAATCCGCATGGGAACCTGGATAGCTTTGGGTAGTCTAGATTCAGTTTCAATAGAAACTGGGCGAAGCTGGACATTTTAAATGTCTTGAAGCAGCTCTTTTGAAAACAGCAGCCATCCAGTGACAGGAGCCTGGCTGGGGATGCGCATGCAACAAAAGCCTTGGTTTGTTTGTTTGTTTGTTTGTTTGTTTTGTCTTCTGCTCTGGCCCCCCCCGCCCACCCCCGCCGTTACCTTCCACAATGAATTTCTGAGCGTAGCGCTTCAGGTTTTTCCTTTTGATGGAGCAGAAACTGTGGGGGAAGCAGCCCTCGGACAGCAGGCGGAAGATGTCCTCGAATTTGCTGGTGGGGCTGCAGGACTCCACCACTTCCTCCTCGGCCACTTGCAAAGCAGAGTCCATGCTGGGGGCTGGGACATGTCCCGGGCATCAGCCCCAGCTCAGTCCCTGGCTCCAGTCCACGGGCAGGAGGAGGTAGTTCAGGGGCTCAGTCCCCAAGCTGGGAAGGCGGCGACCCGGACTTGTTTCAAGGAGACCACCCTTCAAGCCGAGGCGAAACGAGAACGCGGCTCAAGGGACCGTCTGAAAACGCCCGCCTGCATCACAAGGCCTATCGCTACCCCTGCCCTGCTGAATTGCAAGTTGGAAGGGATCCTGAGGGCCATCTAGTCCAGCCCCTGCAATGCAGGAATCTCAGCTAAAGCATCCGTAACAGATGGCCCTCCAAGCTCTGCTTGAAAACCTTCAAGGCTTCTGTCCTCCTACATCCCACTTCATGGCGTATCTCCTCCACAGGCTCCTTTTCTGCAGTGCTGTGAGGTGCTTGGGATACCTTCCCTTATACAGATATGTGTAAACCTGTCTGTACCTCTCCAGGGGCTCAGCCTGGACCCCTCCCCCCGCCGCCGCCCCCAGCTGTCAGGGATCCAGACACTCCTTCAGGAAACGAACAAGTTAATTGTTTGCCACAAAGGAAAATGACGGAAGGTTGCTTGCTCCAAATGTTCAAATGCCCTCTGCGCTTTCAACTCCTTAAATAAGGTTGCCAATCTATCCCACTCCCTGCATTGGGTCAGGGCTCCTGTGCCTTTAACAGCTGTATATAACAGGCAGAGACCCAACAGGTACAGTTGTTCCCTGCATGCCAGGTAAGAAAAGCTTTGCATGTTGCATTCAGCAGAAGAAGCCTAACAGATGCAAACAGTGGCAGCCCCTTCAAACCTCTTACTCAAGAGTAGTCTTGGACTAAGTGGAGCCTGCAAGCCTTTGTAGTTGCCACTACTCAGTGGTCTGCAGATCTTACTGCCCTTTCTGCATTGGAATGCCTGGCTTGTAATTATCAGTCGTATCTGGATACATGCTTGGACAAATTGACTGCTTATATTAATTTATATGTTATATTATAACTGATGAAATATTCTTATTGTTAAGGTAGGCTGATAATGCTACCGCTGCTTAGCTGTTATCTTTGCAAATTAAAAATAAATTTAAACACTTGAAAGAAAGAAAGGGTAGCCTCAATCGGATCAGGTTAAGGGGAAGGGGATCCTTGCAAAAAACAAGAGAGAATCTTGTGGTGCCTTAACAAATTTATTAAGGCATAAGCATTTCTGGACCACTGCACTAGATGCATGAAGTGTTTCCCTGAGATATGTATATGCATATGGCTGGAGGGAAATGTTCTTTCGCTTCTACCTCTTAAGTGTTTGCATGCTTGTACATTGCTCAGTGAAACTGACTATCACAATATGCTGTAGTGGTCATTGGGTGGTTTTGAAACGCGATAATTCAGCTGTCACTGGCCACCACAGCCATATGGAGCATCGCCATGTTCAGAGGCAGTGTCCTTCGGAGTGACAGTCAGGGAGAGCAACAAAAGAAAAAGAGGTCTATTGCCTCTTGGTCAACTGGTCAGCCACTGAGGTAGACAAGTTGCTGGCTATGTTCTGATCTGGCAGAGCTCTTTTTAATCTTAACTAAGCCACGTGACAGTCTAGAAATGGAACCTCCATATGCCGGCATAGCCTACCCCACAGTGGGAACAAAACTGCTGTGCCATACGGCTCTATTGCCTTCATGCCCTCATGTGCGCTTTCTGAGGGCCGCCCGATAGGCTACTGTGGGGAAACAGACAGCTTGGGTTTGGGGCGATGTTTTCAGTCATTCTTCCTTCCTACAAGTTCTCAGTGTAATTTGTCGACGCTCCCTTAAGGAGAGCGCTCGTTTCTTACCGGGGCGTTTTCGCCGACGGACCCGTTGCCCCTGGAGATCTGTTCCGTTCCTCTTCGGGGTCCGGCTGGAATCATGGAGCCCAGCGGTATGCGGCCGAGGCCAGGGCGGTTCCTGGCCTGCGCCTGCTTCTTCACCGACAACCTGTTCGTGCGCGGTATGGGCTTCACCTCCGCTACCACGGGGATCCGGAGCAGCTGCGGAGGGATTATGGACCGGTAAATACATAGCGCCGTGGACGTTTTCCTGGAGAGCAGAGACTTTATACACGCGCACTCTCCTCTCCGTCGTTAATCCGGATTGGAGTCATAGGCGCCGACTCCATGGGGCTTGAGGGGGCTGGAGCCCCCTCAAAAAAATTTTTGGGGGGGCTCAGCCCCCCCAATAATCTCGGGCGGGCGCCCTTCCAGCAGAGCGCCGCCGCCGTCCCCCGCCTCCTCCCCACCTGCTCCTTCGCCAGCCAGCCAGCCGCGCGCCCTAATCGGAGAGCCCCGGCCGGAAATCCCGCGAGAACAGGGGAATCCCGACTGGCCACACCTCCCAGCCAGCCAATCGGCTGGCTGGGGGGGCGTGGCTTGCCCTATTTAGGGCCGGAGCCACTTTATTTGCATATTCATGAGCTTATTTATTATTCATGAGCTTTCCCGGGCCCCCCCAATATTTTTTCTAAGTCCGCGTCCCTGATTGGAGTCATAAATCCTTCCCTACACGCAACGAAAGCAGGGGCGGGGGGGTAGTACGCTTATCCCCTGACTTCTAACAATGCAATGCTAACCGTGCCTACTCAGAAGTAAGCCCCATTGGGTCCAATGAGGCTTACTCCCAGGTACGTGGGGAGAGGATGACAGTCTCAATTCGCACACTTTAGGGAGTAATCCCTCTGGTCCCAGTGAACTTTTTTTCCTGACTAAAAAGTAAACACATTTAGGATTGTACTGCAGAGCTGCTTACAGTTACAGTACTGTGTTTTAGAGTTTTAAAAAAGTTCTCAGAATGAAGCAAATGCAATAGCAAGTACATATAAATAGTAAGCAACCCCCTATGTTGAAATGGCCATAGTAAAGAAATGTCTCCACAGGGCTTACTTCTAGGTTAAAAGAAAGAGGAGAATTGGGCTTTAATCATATAGGAAGTCCTATTGAGCTGAATGGGGTTTACTTCTGAGTGAGCATATAAAGCCTTCTCCAACAGTGTTTAAGTGCAAAAAAGGGGCACACATCAGAGACTACTGTTGCTTTAATTTTATCCAGACTGGTGTGCCCTTTAAAACAAAAAACCCTACTGTATCTGGAGAGGTACAGAGAGAGGTCTTGCCTCTGGCCTTGTGGGTTAATTTCAGGGATAGTCCCATGCCTCTAGACCATAGCGGCATTGGTGTGGAAGGACTGGGACTGTAATGTAGAAAACAAAAACACGTGTCACACATATAAACTCAGCATCTATTCTACAGGTATTAAGACAACGGGGCTGCAGAAGCGTGGAAGAATTCGAGACAGTAATCCAAGAGGTACTGTACCTGGCTTCGATGTGAGAGAACTAACAGTCTGATCTTGTGTACATGCTATACTTTACGCTGTGTTTTTCAACCAGGTTTGGCTACCAGTAGCTACCAATTAAAATTCACACAGATGTGTAATGGAGGCAGGGGGAGAGCCACTGCTTCTGGCCCCAGATAGTTGGTGATGCAGGTCAGGTTCTCAGCTCTTCTCTCCAGAGGAAGTGGGTAAAAACAGTTACATATGGTCTCAGGCTTGGCTTTGTAGTAAATATGTCAACAGCCAGAGACAGCCTTTGCGTTGATATGCAGAATGTTTCAGTGACATAATCCAAGTTTCAGAGCGCTCTGTAGACTGCAATCCTATACCCAGGGACCTGATGAACTCAAAAGAACTCATAGGGTTTGCTTCTGAATAAAAGCACATAGAGGTGGGCTAAACATATATAAATAATATTTGATTACACAGCCCTGGCATTTCTGTTGCTTAAATATGGAGCCTGGACCTATCCACCCAAACATGGTGAAGACCAGAGTGATACATCTCCATAAGCTGCCTTGTACTGAATCAGACCTTTGGTCCACCTAACTCCCTACCAGAGGTTCAGAACCCATAGCCTGGGGGCCTAGATGGAAAGATGTATATCCAGGCACGTCCAACAGGTAAATCGTGATCTACTGGTAGATCACTGGACGTCTGTGGTAGATCACTGGCTCCCCCCAAAGAAGCTCAACAACTTCTCCTCCTCCCTAAAAATCTCAACCTTTGACCTGAACCCCCCAAAAGGGGGTAGATCACTTCCAGTTTTTAACTCTGTGAATAGATCACAGTCTCTTGAGAGTTGGCCACTCCTGTACTATACTATGTAAACCTCTGACTTTTGCATGGCTGGAATGCAGCTTCTTGTATGATTCGCACCCACTTCTCCACTCACTTTTGCCTCTGGTCTGGCCCATGACTGCTTTGTGGTCTCAGGAAGGTTGCCCATGGGCTGAAAAAGGTTCCCCTCCTCACCTCTGGTTACCATTGACTGACTAGGCATTGAGCTTAGAACTCTTTGCATGTAAATCAGGTATTCTATACTGAGTTACAGCCTTTCAACTTCAGAATGAATTTTCCTAGGTTGAAAAAGAAGTCCAGAGGAGAAAGGAATTAGAGTACTGCTCCAGGGAAAGGAAAGCAATAATTTCCCAGAACTACAAGCCAAAGCATCCTCAACTGTATACTTTACAGGTAAAGAACTTGTTTCTTCTATTTGCATGCAAGTCCATAGCTAGAGATAGTTTAGGAATGGCTTCTACTCTGGTGACATTTCTGTACAACAGTTTAGCAAGAGGGTCTATACTCCTGCAAGTTGGTGCAGACTTGAAGATGCTTAGCTATCACTGGATAAAATGGGATCTGCATACTCTTAACACACTGGCTAATGTTGGTGCTGATACACTGTGGTTAATGGGGCACAGTTAATGGAGAGGGGTAAATTTTGATCTAATATTTGTATGCTGCTTTTTCAGTAGCAAGGTTTATTCTCAATGCAGCTTAAAACGACAACAAAACATTGAGGGGAAAAATCACACTTTTCCTCCATTTAATAATATCAACAAAGGCTAATATATCAGCAAAGCAAAACCAAAACAGTTCAGAAAAAAAAAAAGTGCAGATTCAGAATTCAGAATTGTTCATTAGAAATAGTTGCTGAGTAGCAGCCCATTTTCAGCTGACACCATTCCTCTGGGAAGGGGCTTCCTCACTGGGGACTGGACAAGACTCTGCCTGTACTTTTAGCAGCACAAATAAGAAAAAGAGTTGTCACAAGAGTTGTCCAAAAGCAATTCTTCTACGGACTTCCGGGTTAGCGCCAACGGCTAATGGCAGATTCTCTCCGAGCTCCGGAGAGAATCGGCTCCGTGGGAGACGGGTCCCGTCGCGACGGCGATGCGGGGACCCTTAAAAACCACAGGCGGTGAAGCCTGTGGACGTGGTGGCTCAGTGGGCACCATTTGCGCCCCCCCAACCCGCGAAGAAGCCTTTTTAAAGGCTTTGGAGTGGGGGAAGGTGAGTGGCGCGGTGCTGGGAGCAGATCGCTACTTCTACGGAGTGAAGCCACAAGCCATGGCCGGAGAGCGCTGACTTTTTTCCTTGAATTTGGGACTGCAAAACAACAACCCGTGAGTAATAAGAAATCTGGACTTAAAATTTTCTTCAATTTCTTGAATTTCGGTACGACTGGGGGAGGTGTCAAAAGGAAGTCCGCCCCCCCATTCATGTAGATAATCTGAAGCAAGAATTAAACAACTAAGGTCGAGAGAACCTTTCGTTTCCTTGTGAAATTAATGTTATTAATTCCACGATTTTGAAAGAATCAAGAACAGCCTTTTTTTTAAAGAAAAAGAAGAGAAACTGACTGGTAATCCCCCCCCCCGAAACCCGGGAGGGATCCGTGAAAGAGCTGGCTCTGGAGACATAAGAAATTTGACAGCTGTCAAACGAGCTGTCAAATAAGAAAAAGTTGCTTATTGATATTTTGGCTGGTTATTTGTGTCGAATTCGGCTCTGGGTTGTTGGAAATAAAGAAGAAACAAAACTAAACAAAGTAACTTGACTGTTGGAGGAAAAATACTAAGTAACTAGATCCCTCTAGAGGGGAATTAGAGACATTACAATAGCAGCAGATGGAAAAATACAGGCAGAGCTTGAGAGAATGTTTTTTCTTGTGGGAAAATTACAAGATCAACAAAAAGCTTTTGCAACAGATGTTATGGCCTTGAGTCTCAAAGCAGATAAATTTGCTGACCGTACAAAGGAACTGATTCAAAATACTCTGGCAGTCGAACAAGAAGATAAAGTTATTGTTTCAGAGGAGGAAGAAGGAGGTGTTGGAAAATTGACGGAGAAAGAGAATAACCAGAAGCCTTTAAAAATGTATTATAAGGGAAACAAGTATTGGATGACAGAAACCTGGTTGGCAATTGAGAAGGAGGATCGCAGAGATTTCTTTTTTTTCTTTTTTTTTCTTTTTATTAATTTCAATTCATTACACAAACATTCAAACAACAGAGAAAAAAGAAAAACATACCAAACACAGAAAAAAGAAAAACATACCAAACACAGAAAAAAGAAAAAAAAAGAAATTTCATAACAAAAAACACTGACAAATCAAACCGACAATAAATGACTTCCCTTCATCTCTGGTTTCGGAGTATGATACACAATATTGTAATCTGCAGTTTCGTTTTCTTAAATCTCTTTGCGTCACAGGCGTAATTTCTAGCCTACTGTGATTTTTAAGTTTTTAACCTCTAGTTCAATATATGACATAAATTTATTCCATTCATCATTAAACTTTGTGGTCTTTTGGTTTCTTATTTTCTGTGTCATTTCTGCCAATTCTATATAATCAAACAATTTAGGATTGCCACTCCCTTATAGTTGGGATTTTCGATGTTTTCCAGTTTTGTGCTATAAGTGTTCTAGCGGCTACTGTAGCATATTGGAAAAGTGTTTGGTCTTCCTTTCTAATTTCTTCTCCAACTATCCCCAAAAGGAAGGCCTCTGGTCTCTTTTTAAAGGTGTATTTAAATATCTTTTTTAGTTCATTATATATGGATTCCCAAAAATTTTTAATCACCTCACAGGACCACCACATATGATAGTAATTACCCTCCTTAATTTTGCATTTCCAACATGATTTGTCTACATTCTTGTACATTTTTCCTAATCTAACAGGTGTGATATGCCACCTGTACATCATTTTATACATATTTTCTCTAAGTGTTGTACAAGCCGAGAACTTCATACCTATATTCCAAAGTTTCTTCCACTTTTCAAACTCTATATTATATCCAAAGTCTATCGCCCATTTCACCATTACATCTTTTACTTCTTCATCTATGGTGTCCCATTCCAATAGCTGACTGTACATTTTTGATAGGAGTTTTGTCTCGTTTTCTAGTATTTCTATCTGGAATCTAGATTTTTTTTCACTCATCCCATTCTTTTTGTCTTCGGTCCACATAGCATTTATTTGATGGTATTGGATCCAACCTGTCAGTTTGTTCTTTATCTCTTCGTATGGTCTGATCTTCCATCCGTTTTCTGTTTTTACTAACAGATCTTCGTATGTCCATCTTTTCCCTTCGATATTGGTTTTCTTTACTGTTAGAATATCGATTGGTGATAACCACCATGGGGTATTT